GTCGTATCTCGAAAAATTCGTAAGGAGGGGCGTTCGTAACTAGAGGTACCACTGTATTTGATTTTTAATTTTTTTAGATCTGAACAGTCCAGAAAATGGTACATCACTTCACAACATATCTAGCAGAAATCGTTAATTAAAAAGTAAAACCAGTAGTCATTTCCAAAGCTCTTATACACTGTTTATCCAACCTAATATTTCTGAGGTCATTCATGCTGTCATACTCCTAATTTGAAACACAGATTCAGATTTTTTTACCATGCATAGAAAGAGTTATGTATGTATACAGGTACAATCACTTCCCCCAAGTCCTGCTATTCAGCCTTATTGTGGTGAACACAGTGAAAAATGAATTGAATCAACTACATTTTGACGTCTTAGGCATCAGTGAATTGAAATGGACTGGAATTGGACACTTGCAATCAGAGGAACATACTGCTTACTACTCAGGACATGAAAAACAAAGAAGGAACAGCACTGTTTTCATAGTCAGGGTATAGCAAACTGTGAACAGTCAATGTCACAATATCAGTTAGACTTTGTAAACAACCCTTTAACATAACAGGTATCCAAATTTATGTCCAACCACTTATGCAGAAGAAGAGGAGACGGATGAGTTTTATGGTCATGTTCAATCTGAAATCAACAGAACATGCAAGCACAATGCAGTGCTAATGGTTGGAGACTGAAATGCCAAAGCTGCAAACAGTAAGGACTACTTGGCCTAGGAAACAGAAATTAAGCAGAATAACGTTTCTGCCATTTCTTTATTGCTAACGCATTCTTCAAACAGCAAAAACAACACCTGTATACATGGACATCACCAGATAGAATATACAGAAATTAAACTGACTATATTTTTGATACAAGGACGTGGAACTCAGTTATAACAGCGAAGATGTGGCCATGGGTTAACTGTGGAATTGCTCATGTGTAAATTTCAAGTCAAACTAAAACAAGAACAAAGCCAACCATCTTCCATGAAATTATCTTGGGAATATACATTCCATTTTCAAGAATATCAAGAATTGCTTTGAAGTTCTGAACATCACTGATAGAGAACCAGAGGAACTGTGGGATGAAATCTGCGAAGTTGATAAGAAGGAATGTAAAAAGAAACTGCAAGAGACCAAGAAATTAAAGAACAGACAGTGGTATTGCCAAGAAAACCAAGAAAGCCAAAAATCTCAGGTTCCCATTTAACCAAGAAGTTCAGAGAGCTGTTTAAAAGGTAAGAAGCAATAATACAATAATGTCTGTAACGATGTTAAAATGGAAACAGGCATAGAAAAACAAAGAAAATCTTCCAAAAGATCTCTGAATTCAGAAAGAGGTTCAACATCAAATTGGTATACTAAATGACACCAAAAGACAAATAGTAACCAATTTAAAGACCAAAGATGGAAGGAATATATTGAAAGTCAGTACAGAAGAGATATCAACATTCAAGAAGATATTCCCTATTTACAAGAACCTCTAGTACTAGAACATGAAATTAGATTGGCAGTCCAGTCATTACCAAGTCAGAAAGCTATAGGAATTGATGGAATATCTACAAAAATATGGCAAGCAATAGAAGAAGAGTCAGTCAAGGCTCTAACCAAACTATGCCAGCAAATCCTGAGAATAACACAGTGGCCAACAGACTGGAAGAGGTCAACCCACATATCAAAAGCAAAACAAGGAAACTTAATAAAGTATGCAAACTACTGCACAATATTCCTAATCACATACGCTAGCAAAATAATTCATAGGATCATTCAATCCAGAACCCAGAGCATTTCCTATGGAAAATGAAATTCTAGATGTTCAAGCTGATTTTGGAAAAGACTGAAGAACAAGAGATGATATTGCTGATGCACACTAGGTAATTGAAAACGGCAAATACCATAAAGAAGTCAATATGTCCTTTATTGATTATATCAAGGTCTTTAATTTTATTATGCATGTCTTTAGGAAATATGCTTAGGAATATCCTTAGGAAAATGGGAATCCCAGTACATCTCATTGTCCTCATGCAAAACCTAGACAAAGGGCAGGAAGCCACAGCCCAGATGGAATATGGCAAAACCGACTGGCTCCAGGTCACAAAGCAGCTAGACAAGGGTATATATTCTCTCATTTGTTCAACCTACAGTATATGCTGAATAAATATTAAGGGAGGCGAGACTGGGGGAAGATGACTGGGTTTTAAAATTAGAGGAAGAAATATCAGTAATGTGCACTAGGCTGATGTCACTACTCTGATAGCTAAAAATGCAAATTATTTGCAAGCTCCAGTAATAGAAGTCAAGGAACGTATAGTGAAAATATTAGACCACAGTTAAATATAAAGAGGACCAAATTAATGATAACAGGTACAGCAATCAGCCTTGGAACTGACAATGAAAATACTGAAGTAGTAGGTAGCTTCTGCCTTTTAGCATTAACCCTACATAGTAAAGGAATCAGAAGTCAAAAAATAAGCCATAGACTAGCACTTGGCAGAATAGCAATGAAGGCCTTGGAAAAGGTATTCAGATGCTGTGACATGTCTATATCTACAAAGATCAGAATCGTGCAAGCAATGTTTTCCTATGACACTTTATGAAAGGAGAAAGATGGATTTTGAAGATGCAAGACAGAAAGAGTATTGTATTGTCGAAGGCTTTCGCGGCCGGCATGCGATGGCTGGTGTGGGTCTTCCGGGCTGTGTGGCCGTGTTCTTGAAGTT